GAGTGTGTGTCTGTGTGTGTCCTGTGATGGACTGGTGTCCTGCCCAGGGTGTGTTCTTCCTTGTGGCCCTTGCCTGCTGCAGCTCTCCCACACGACCCTGTACCTGATAAAGTTGGATGGAACACAAGACAGGTCTCAAACGAGACGAGGCCACTCGGTTCATCCAACCTGTTTGGTAATTAGTTTTGTAATTAGTGGCTCATTAACCCCAAGATCTCATCCAGCTGTTTCTTGAGAGCAGCCAGGGTATCGGCTTCAGGAACATGGCTGGGCAGCTTGTTACACACTCCCACCACTCTTTGTGTAAAGAAGGGAAAACTCATAGGCTTCTCTATTTGTCAGTGTACGAAACTGTCAAACCCCAGAATGTATCAGGTTGCAATATCTATTGCACATTGTCTGATGAATTTAAATTAATTGCACTTATGTATCACATTTCAGTTAACTCTTGAATTTGTTACCAGAAAAGAGGAAAAATAAATTAACTGGACCGTATCCTTCCACTTACTGCGAGGTGACGTCAGGATCAGCCAATCACCGTGTGGGATGCGGTGACAGACGGATTGATGTCACTTCAGAGAGTGACAGTTCTGGAGCTCCGCTTCCACCCGTCGGACGGCCATTTTGGCTCCAGTTTCCAACTGCGCGCTGGCAATCCATGTCAACGAGGAAGCAAAATGGCGCCCTTGGGTGGCTGGGTGTCCTTGGCGATGGGCCGGTCATGTGACCGCGGCGGGGGCAAAGCTCGTCGATGTAAACAACATGGCGACTCGGAGAGAAAAGACCGGGGCCTACCTGGGGATTATTCCTTAACGTAAACTCAAGCAGTGACAATAAAAAAAAACCCAAGCAGTATCGATTCGCTAGTATTGATAAGCCTATTGATTGTTAAAGGAAGAACGTGCAAGACAACAACGCGATCCGCGAACGAAGCCCTAAATACAAATTTCACCAGGTACTGTATTTTCTATTTATCTGTTGAGTTTCTTGTTAAGTGTTCATTGAGCCTTTTTATGATTGTCATTTTCGGAAGGGGATTAATTCACTGAAATAGACGCGAGTCTTCCCGTGTCGTCGGTGTAACATAACGATACATTTAATTTGATTAGATAATTAGCTTGGTTAATTAGTCGAGGAGTATAAGGAAAGCATTTTGACACTGAACAACTGCCGTTTCGATTTTGGCGAGTGAGGAAACTAGACGAATTACTGATTAACCCCTCTCTCTCAGTGCAGTGTTAATGTACTGGAGTGTCCAGTCAGT